ACTTTGGTTGACTGATGGACCATGGTCGGTCGACCGATGAGATGACCGTTAGCAAACTAGAAATCTCAAGCTCATTTGGTCAACCGATAAGGTTATATCGGTCGACTGAACCTAAGTCATCGGTCGACCGATAATTGTGTATCGGTCGACTTGCCAGAGGAATTTTCCAGACCCTATAAACTCGATGCTATCAGTTGTTCGGCGTAAAAATTAACTCCTGAAAAGGGATTGTTTGTATTAATAAGAATAGATTATTACAAACTAAGGATCAACAATTACAATAGAAGCGAAGAGAATGCTCTTCTTGTTTAACGTGGGTTCTTCGGTAGTGATAGAACACCTACTTCGAATGATTGCGTCGAGTTTGCTTCCCTTGGACGATCCGAACGAGGCTGTGGACAAGCTTCAGTACATAGTAGAAGCTTGATTGGATGAGTTCGATCAATCGAGGCCAAACAAGTGCTTGTGCTTGTGGGCCAAAGATGCCACGAATTCAGTCTTCTTGAATGACAAGAAGTCTGATCTCCAAAGAACAAGACTCCACCAATGGTGTACCAGGAACAAGATGGATCTCAAGTCCAAGATGGTCTTGAGATCTTTCAAATTCGCCCTCAAAGAGGACAGGTCCTAAGACCCTTTCTCTATGACTGCTCATGGCCTTTTATAGAGAGGAAGGATGGTGTAATCACTCTCTTAAATCATAGGAAGTGATCATTCACATACTGGATATGGCCATGAGGAGAATCGTGACCAATCCATGAAATCGTGGGAAGTGAACATTCCCATACTGGGTATGGCCATGAGAAAAATCATAGTCATTCTCTTAAACCGTGAGAAGTGACCTCTCCCATGCCTCAAGTGCGTGGGCTTGTCAAGCTTGCGGGCGAGCTTGCCCTGTGCAGGGAGCTTCAAGCATGCAGGTAAGCTTGGGTCATACAGGCGAGCTTCCAGCTATCAGGCGAGCTTGGCTCATGCAGGAAAGCTTCAAGCTATCAGGTGAGCTTGGTTTTTAGGCGAGTCTGGATCATGCAGATAAGCTTCTAGCTGTCAGGCGAGCTTGGCTCATGTAGGCGAGCTTCAAGCTGTCAAGTGAGCTTGGCTTATACAGGTGAGCTTCTAGGTGTCAGACGAGCTTGACCTTCAGGCGAGCTTGGCCTTCAGGAGAGCTTGACTCATGCAGACGAGCTTCAAGCTGTCAGACGAGCTTCAAGCTGTTAGATGAGCTTGGCTTATGTAGACGAGCTTCTAGCTGTTAGGCAAGCTTGACTTATGCAGGCGATTTTGGCCTTCAGGCGAGCTTGGTAGACGAGGCTGTGCAGGCGAGCCAACCTTATTCAGACGAGCTTAAAGCTTCAAGCCTTCATACGAGTTTTCTCTTCAGGCAAGATAAACTCCTTTGCAGGCGAGTTTGCTCTTCATGCGAGCTCCAGAACATACTACGAAGCATAGGTCATAACTTTCAAACCATAAGTTAGAATTGGACAAATTATATATGATAATCGACTATCTCAATGAGACGGGCTGAACAAACCAACTAAAGTTTGATTTGTCACTATCCGTTTTACCAAATTCCTTCTGATTTGAGAGATATCAGTGTTTTTGTCTGTTTTGTAAAGTCAAGCATTCAGGCGAACTTGACTTTCAGGTGGGCCTAACTTCGCTCAGGTGGGCCTGACTTCACTCAGATGGACTATTAAGCTCTTTTGTTTGTTCTAAGTTACTGTGCAAGTATAAAGGCAATTTTTATTGCCTACATCAGTCGACCGATTGACATAGGTCAGTTAACTGATGTATGATACATCAGATACTCAGTTTTCCAGAAATGCTGACTTTCTAAAATCAATTAAAATAATAAATTAACTCCAAAAATCGTAAAATTTTGAGGAATTTTTATAAACATGAAGATAAACATGTCAACAAATAAATTTTTAAAAACTCAATTCTCATTTGTGAAAACTCGTCATTTTGCAAAATCGTCAAAAATATGAGTTCGTTAAGTTCTTGATTTGACACAATGATTACATACAAGTTTGGAAATACTTTTGAGTGGATTAATGGACTTAATGAAAGATATAAAACATTGTCGTTAAGTCAATAGCTCAAAAGCTTGATATTTTCTCAAAAACATGTACGTGTATGAACCGAGCTATAAGTATAACGCACAAAGTATAAACCTAAACTATTTTACCCAAGCTAATGATTCTTCGTTTTAGCTCGATATTGGTAGCATATGAAGCGGTGTTGAATCTAGACTTGAATTGATAGCTGCATTTAAACTTCACGAATATCATAGTTATGCTCAAATAGAACCTGAATGCATGTTAGAAAAAAACGCAGATGCTAGAAACAAGATTAGAAATTGTTTATTAATCATCAAAACTAGATTAGACAAGTAGGCTCAAAAACATGAGTCCTAACAATTCTTGTATTCTTCTGTGCATTTATGTTAATGATATTCTATTGTTTGGATCTAATATTGGGATAATCAATGAGACTAAGTCATTCTTGAGTAGTAAGTTTAAAATGAAGGACATAGAAGTTGCTGACATGATTCTTGACCTAAAATTAATAAGATCAGTTGAGGGTATAGCTATTTCCCAATCTCACTATGTTGAGAATGTTATTGAGAAATTTGGCTATAAGAATTGCAAGCCCGTCAAAACTCCATATAATCCTTGAGTAACTCTCTACAATAGTGTAAGTGGAGTCTCTATATCTCAATTGAGATATTCTCAGATCATTGGAAGCTTGATGTATCTTGAAAATTGTTCAAGACCGGATATATCTTACTCGGTTTCTAAATTAAGTATATACACTAGCTGTCTAAATAGGAATCATTGGGAGGCCTTGGATAGGATACTTCGGTATCTGAAGGGAACTGTTTCCCTTGCATTGCATTACGGTAGATTCCCTTCTGTTATGGAGGGATAAAATGATGCTACCTGGATTGCTATGGGTTCATGTAGTAATGGTTGTACAAGGTATGTATTTACCTTGGGTGGATGCGCTGTTGCCTGGAGATCTGTCAAACAAACTATTTTGTCTCAGTCTACGTTTGAGGCAGAACTTTGTTGTTTGGACACTACTGGTTTAAAAGTTGAATGACTTAAGAGATTTATGTTCAAATTGCCCATAATCAGCAAGCCTATTCCTGCAATCTCTGTGCATTGTGACAATATGACCACAATTGCAAGAATTAAAAGTTCAAAGTATAATTCCTGCAATCTCTGTGCATTGTGACAATATGACCACAATTGCAAGAATTAAAAGTTCAAAGTATAACCGCAAAACTCGAGGTCATATATTGTGACAATATGACCACAATTGCAAGAATTAAAAGTTCAAAGTATAACCGCAAAACTCGAGGTCATATCCAAGTACGGATAAAGAGTGTGAAGAAGTTTGTTGATGAAGGGGTAATTGTTGTGGACTTTGTCAGGTCTAAGGACAACATAGCATATCCCTTTACAAAAGGACTAGAGTTGTCACTAGTTCTTAAATCTAGGTTGATGATGGGATCGAAACCCTTATCTAACTCATCGACAGTAACAACCCAACCTATCTGAGTGGAGATCCCACAAAGTAGGTTAAATGTGGTAATAACAAACAGTTGAGTGAGTTAAACACCTAATCATAGATTGATACTTTGTATCTGAGTCTATCATCATGTATACCTGGAAGGTGTTGATAATTGCTTGTATAGTAAGAGTGTTTCGACTCTGAATGGGATCAAGTCTTTAAGACGAGATGCAAGCAATGCAGCCCTGGAGATGCCCACTATATTAACATAATTGTGTGGCCGCAATTAGAGGAAGAATGTTATTCCTCAAAATTGTTCTTGAAAATGATAAGAAAGCATGGTCATAATGCGTCAAACCTAAAGATTGCTTCTATAGCCTATATCGTGTTGTTACCAATAAATATCACCACATCCAAGGTTCAAGTTCAAGACTTAGTTTTACTTTGTGGTTGTGGTGATAAAATTGATAACTATAGGGAAGGTTCAAATCGGAAGATACCTTCTCCGAAAGCATGATATGTATAATCTTTATTACTGTCAGCTATGGAATTGTGGGCGATTGTTGAAATAAATGAATCTTAGAGGGATTTTATGGAAAGATATCATTTAATGATTGGATTCTATATATGAAAATTAAAATGTGTTTAATAAGTAGTATGTGAGTTTTAGTCTCATATTGGCTAATTGAATGCATTTTAGTTGGTTCAAATTAACACATGTATTATATATGGTATAATAAAGGTTTTAGTATTATACACTTGTGTTGGTATATAAGCGAGCATGCGAGCAAGTGAACGGGACCGTGTGTGCGGGGTTCGGGCGCGCGGTCCGGGTGCATGGTCCGGCGCGTGTGCTAGCGCGTGCTCTTTTTGCACGTGTTGTCTTTAAACGAGCTTAAACATTTTGCATGTGCTCACTTAAAACTAGTTGAACCTTTCGTACGTTACAAACATTACAAGGATTGAATAAGTTTTATTGCAGATGTTACAAACATTGCAGTAACTGAAATTCAAATCTTCGTCTCCCATGAACCTTATAAAAGGGCTCCTTCTGATCATTTGGAACACACAGAAAAATAAAATCTCATGTCTTCTTATTCTTTTAATAATTCTATAAGCTGTTAAGTATTGGAGGTTCTGGCGAACTGAAGAAATAGTCGTGGTGTTCACAAGAAGAGAGCACTTCTTTAGACTACAGTCGTCTCATTCTCGAAAGTACTGTGCAAACCCAACGCTACCGTAGGTGGGGCATAGTTTCTTTAAGGTCAGTCCTCTGTTAAGAGGGCGATTCGACACTTCTGTAAAGTATTTCAAACTTGAAGTACTTTTAATATGATGTTTCTAACTTTCTGCTATTTTCCTTCTTACCTATATGGTTTGTTCTGTACTATTTTGGATCTGTTTTTATGCTTGTTTTTCCCAACAAACTGTATGTATCGTATAGACTATACGCAACGCTAAAGGAGGAGGAGACCTAAGCATGTCAAATTTCATACTTTAGAAACATTTATAGGCATAAAAATAACACAAACTTCATCTTTATTTTCAATAAACATATGTTTCAACCATTGTATTCAGTTAAAGTACCAATCTAGTATTCGTTCCAGAAACAGCAATTTCTATTAGACATCTTTTGCAAATGTTGTTTCTATCTAGTGAGGAGAACGAGGAGGCATCTCTTGTTTTATGAAGGATGAGAAGAGAGTGAGAGCTCTAGCTGGCTGATAGCTTGGAACAAAATGTCCACCTCCTCTCACACTCACCAGTGTGAGATTCTCATATCCAACAGCAAATCCAGCAACCTTCACATACCAATGAAAATAAATAAATTTAAATATGAGAATATATAATTTATGCTGAGTGGATGAACTCCTAATGCTTATTAGTTGAAATTTTGCTTCTCAACTATAAGCATTATTTTACTAACTATTCCTTTAACAAAATCATATTTAGTTTACCAAAACCAGATAAAGTTTACGCTGGTGTTCAAAATGCTTATTATTGAAGTTATCCATGTCAAATTAGCTTACCTCTCCTTCAGAGTACCAAGGATAAGAAGATGTCTGCTCAGTTACATTAAGTCTTTCTATGAAGTAATCTGTCAATGTTATAGGCGCCACACTATCAGTATCACCGCTGCGTTATGAAAATTAGATAAGCATTCGTTAGTTATGAACATTGCGATATTGATATTTTATTGATAATTAGCTGAGAAATTTCAGATATTTATGGATATATCAACGCCCATATAAATAAAGAAGCATGCCAACATAAGTTTTAAAGCGCATAACATCTCTATAGCTCGTAGATCGTTAGGAGATGACTGAAATGGACTTTACTTTAGAAAATTTTGTAATTAAGAAGAAGAAAAGTAATAATAAATCTTACGTATAGAGCCAGACTCTTGTGCCATTTGCCATCAATTTCTTGACTAGAGGTGTAATGGTTGGGTACCAATTTTTCCATTCCTTGATTACAGAGCTGCTCAGATGCAATCAACAAAATATTCAAAGCCGAGTTATAAATCCAAAAACATGAAAGGCACAAATAGTGTATAAGGAAATATTGGCATATTATTTTACCTGTTAACTGTCCATGGATATGGTAGAGATGTAATGTTCGCATGTAGAGCTTCTTGAACTTTGGGGAGGTTGAGATAGGATTCTACATACATATGTGAACATGTATCAAAGCCTCCAATCTGTTCACATGAAATTAAACTGACACGTGAAGTTTGTCTCGTAAAATAGGTAGGTACGTACGTGGATTCTATGAAATTTTGTTTTCCATCTATAAGCAATTTTCTAGTTTTACAAAGTATTCCTTTTACCAAAACCATAGTTTAACTTATGCATGGAGGAATAATTTTCTTGTCTCTTGAGAAAGCATGTAGCGTTTTCCACTTTTCGATGGTGCCATGGAGATATCATATGGTCTATTTAAAGGATGATCCTCTTAATACTAACCTCTATAAGGATAGAAAATTGATATGTACCAGAAGTGAAGTTAGCACAGTGCTTGTGATTCATTGAAATATCACAAACAAAGTTCTCCATATTATGAACATAAAATTATCAATGCACGTTTCAATGCATATGAATTTATATTTGCGTGTCTTTCATGGATATCACTTACAGAGATATTAGTTCTGGACGAAGGTTTACAGGGTGGACCGTAGATGTCATATAGATTGAGGCCTGCCACCATCTCTGAAGCTTGATTCAAATAGTCCAAACAATCAGGTGATAAGACTATCGGAGTAGTGAAGTTGCAGTTGAAAAGTATTTTGTTACGGACGTCATTAGAAATCAAAGTGTGGTCCCCGTGGAAATCGTATACTCCTTTCAAAGAATCATCTTCATCCATCCATCCATTGCCAATCTAGGATAACCGAAGAATTCTAAAGTTAGGTTGTATAATATCATGAAATATATATTGTAGGAAAACGTTACACGTAAAGCTTCATGGTCTCTAATCTCGATACTAATGTTCATCAGTTGTCAAAGTAAGATGGCCAATTGTCTGAGTGGATGAACTCCTTTATTAATTGTTTCTTAGTGGAATTCATCCTACAACTTAAAAAGGAATAAGAGACTGTATGCGACGGAATTTTTAATGAAGTTTCGCTGTTACTTTCACGATGATAATTAGTGGAAATGGACGCGTCATTAAGCATCAAAGAGGAAACATTGATGCAATCCCTTGAAGATTGATGAAGATAGACTATTGAAGGCCAATGAAAGTTGGATGGAATTCCATCAAGGGGTGTTGTTAACAATTAAGAGGGTTATTTTGGGGTGTAAAAGTTAAAAACTTAGGGGCTAAGGTAAAAATATGATAGAATTTATGGCCTAATATGAGAAAAACGTGTATTTTTAAAAGGATTAAGCAGATATGAATGAGTTTTAACAAAATTCTGATGTTACTTTCTTTATGGAAATTAATGGAAATGGATGAATATATCATTGACGCATGATAGTGTAACCATTTTGGTCGGTCTTAAACTTACAACGATCGCTTGAAGGCTGATGAATGTTTAATTGCACATGAGGATTTAAGGACTAAATTAAATGTAAAAATATGATAGAATTTAAGGTCCAATATAAGGGGAAAAAACCCTATTTTTTCTACCATGCATGGCACATCCTAAAGTTTTAAAAGGAATGAGCAATTGTGACTGGATTTTCTGATAAAGCAAAAGTCCAGTGTTAACTTCTACGCAAAGTAATGCAAATGAATGAACCATTGATGAATGAAGTTGACTTACAGCAATTCCTTTGAGGTTGATGTGTGTGTTGTTGCATTTCTTGTTGTTGTGAAGAATTGCATAAGCTAGTTGAGGTAGACAATGGCCTGCGTATCCGTCTCCTGCTATGTAAAAGTCTCTTTTCTTGTACCGAGGAAATCTCTGAAGCCAGTTAAGAATGAATGCGAAAGAATCTTCAGTGGCCTTTTTATCTCCAATCTCTTCGTAGTCCAGTGTTGAGTTCGAGTATGAGTACCCAACACCAGCCGGTGTTTCGAGAAATATGATATTTGCAACTGAAGAGAAACGAATGAATTTTTACCTCCAATATTTTTCTTTGTAGTTTAGGCATGCATTCGTAAATTGAGAAGAGCTGAGATGGTTTACCTTTGTTCCATGAATAATTATTTGGTGATAATGTTTCGCCATCGCTATTAACTCTGAAGGGTCCCTGCCCCATCAGAGCTCCGTGTCCCAAGGAAGAATGAGACTCCCAATATCCACCTACACATGTATATATATTCTCAATAAAACATATACTTGCCCCATGAAATTATTCAAGATGATCACATGAAGAGAACTATACAAACTAGTGCAATTGATATCCTGTTGATTTCCTACTATGTTTCTTATATCATAAGTTAACATTTTAACTGAAGCCATTGCGATTCTTCCCAACTTGCATAATTCTGGCTTTAAGATTGTATTCTTCTTGTATAGCTTTTAGTATCAGACTATTATGACCATCATTTTCTGCATTTTGCTCTTTGTCTTTTATAATCAAAATGTATTAAAACCCTTTTTCCGTTAAAAAATAATAAACTTGCTGTTATAACAATATGTACTCATTATATATATAATTAAAACTATTATCGTAAAATTCTAAAAGTTTCCATGTCCAAATATAATAATAATAATAATCTAAAAATTTCAATAATTTGCAAATCATCTCCATTACCTCCATTAAACCACAACACAAGCGGCACAGACTTAGAATCATTAACCGCCTCCACAAAATAATAAAACAATGCACGACCAGCCTTAGGATCAACTGTGATATACCCAGCATACTGATCAAAAGCCTCAGAATCATCATCACAATCCGGCTGCCCTGGCAAACTCTCCACCTTATCGTCCTCCCTTTGCCCACACTGTTTGTCTACATATGCGTCGCAGAACCTCATCACGTCGTGGTCCCACGACGATATGTTAAGCGCTGAGCCTCCCTTCATGAACTTATGAAATTGCGCATTGGTTAGAGTTACAGTGGCAACAAGAGTGAGGAGGAGAGAAAAGGGTCTCATTGTTGTTTCTGTGCCTGAAAGTTTTTGAAGAGTTCGACGGAGTTTATATAAGGATTGAGAGGGAGAAATGAAGTTTCAAGATGCAAGCTTGTTGTTCATGCTTTTGTGTCTTGTGAGTAGTTTGCTTAAGTTTCGGATTGCATGGGTTTGGGATGTTATGCTGATTTTGGGGCTCTTGTTTCAGATTTTACCTGTTCTTAACTTTGTACCTTCTTAATTTGAGCAAAAATCATAGTAAATGTTACTTAATTGCGCGAAGAAATCATATGGGAACAATTTTTCATGCTCTTCTATATTCTGTTTGAGTTCGCCGAACAATCTCGCATGTCTCCATGTCGCATACTTTTAGCTCCAATGGAAAAGGACAAGTTTTATGTAAGATTACTAAATATCCAAGAAGGGGTTATCCAGATTTACAGATACCAAAATAATATTTAGTTTTACAAACTAAAAATCTGTACCATTGAGCATGCCACCTAATCTATGTGAATTTCAAATTTTATAGCTGGCCAAATAAAGGGATAAGTTGAGAGAACAAATAAAAAAAATTAACGATACTACACAAGATATTATAGAACAACTTTGCTGTTTGAATCATACCGGATATTTTAGAACCAACTCTGGAACCATACAACACATGCGTCAAGAGAACAATTTCTTTTGCTCATATTACCTGACCTTATAAGATCATTTCATTCACTTCGTTTCTCATAAATCAATTACAACCTCAATAGTGATTGGCAGCCAAAACATACATCATTCATAATTGACGATGTATAAACTCACTTTCACATAGGCTTATAATTGCATGCAACAGATGCAATCAAGAACTCGCAGAAATTCAAAAGCATGAAAAAACAATTAGAGAGGAGTCACACTGCCACAACATACTTCACACAAATACTAAATACTTCATATTCTCCAGAAGTCAAGTCTTCTAATAATCTCTTTTCAGACATCAGCAAGAAATTAAAGATAAAGATGCAATAAGTTCTGACAAAATGTTTTGAAATAACCATGGAAAATAAATCAAAACTCCTTAATTTCCTTAATTTAAGCTTCTACAGCAAACGCTACAAAGAAAATTAAGAGGTGCCACTTCGCAGAGGTTGGTCTTTCCTAGGCTTCCTGGGTGCAATCTGTGTATCAGGCTGCAAAAAGAATATTGTGAAATTAAAACCAAAAATTATACAAGATATCATACCAACAATGGGGCTAATTACAGAAAATCCCATTTGAGGTTTGCATGATTGACTGAAGGTCCCCCTTAAGGTTACAAACAACAATTTACGCCCCTCATTTCTATTTCTAGTCAAACAATGATTAAATTTTTGATGTAGTCAATGATATTCAATGTAATAATCATATATGTGTTTATACTGGAGTGCAAATATTCGTGACTTTAACTTTTATACTAATGTTAATTTTGTAAGTTTTAAAAAGAGAGGGCATAAATTGTCACTTTTAAAACCTTAGGGTGGTTTTTTTCCTGTTACTCGTACAAACCTCAGGAGATTTTCTGTAAATTACCCTATACAATACAAAGAGAAACAGTTGGAAAATTAAATTTCATATACATAGCCAAATTACAATAGAAGATTTTCAATCATTTGATCTTTGATTCAGTAAAAAATACTGACATGCTACTCTTTGTAATTGCAAGGAAATGCAATGAATGAATTAGAAGCAAATTCAAATTAATCCCAACAATTTAAAGGACATTCAAGTTACGTACCTCTTTCTTAACTGGTTCTTCCTTCTCAGACAGCATTAATTCAATATGACAAGGAGATGACATATAAGCTGCAATAGAGAAATTAAAATAAGCAACATCTCAAAGAAAAACAAATAAAAATAAATTCAGGACGAAGAGGACTAACGATTAATTCGTCCATGGGCTCGGTATGTTCTGCGCCTTTGCTTCTGGGCCTGGTTCACTTGAATGTGAGATATGTAAAGTGCATCAACATCCAAGCCTTTCACCTAAAGAAATTACCAATTCCAGTAACAAAATCACTCAGATGAGAAGATGATTATAAATTGGGTTGATGGCGGATAAACCCCCCGATACTATCACCAAAATGTAGATAGACACCCTATAGTTTTATTGTTGCATATAGACGCCGTCAGTGCGATTTTTTTAATTAACTCTTTTATCCTCAAGAGTTCTTTTAGTCAAAAAAACAACTTTCTCCCTCAGGGTAAAAGAGCCAATAGAGAAATTTATTCAAGGCGACTCTATGCATTCGGGTGATAGTACTGGGTCTAGCAGCAAATTAATCATAAATTTAAAGGCAAAAAACAGCGCAAAGTGGTCATACATCAGCATTGCTTTCAGCATTCTTGAGTAAATCGAGAATAAACTTGGCGGACTTAGCAGGCCAACGACCCTGTCCATTAGAGTGACGGTTCTTAGCTTGAGCAGTTCGTCCAACACCTCCACAATATCTCCGGAAGGGTATAGCTTGCTTATGTGCAATGACATCCTCAAGATATCTCTTGGCCTTGCCCAAAGGCATCTTTCTAAGTGCAAACGCTGTCTCCCGGGTATTCTGTTAGATTAAACAAGTTATTGGACATGATTTGGGAAAGAAAGTAATGTTTAGAAAATTATAGTAGCTAGAGACACTCATTTGAGAACTGGGCAACCAAAAACATAGTAGCTAGAGACACTCATATATATATAAAAAGTCTCTTCGTATCTTGCATGGATCCCTAGGTATCATCAATGGATAGAAAGTTTGGTGGATGGTCCACTTAAGTTGACATTGGACAGAAACTTTTTTTGTGTTTTTTGGGTGAAAGCCTGACACTTTGTCAGGCTTTCACCCAAAAAACACCCAAAAATAAGTGTTCCAAACGCGCCCTTAAGTTGACATAAGAATCTCTCTCTCTCTATATATATATATATATATATACCCTTGCAGACCAACTAGCCAAAGTCGGTGTCTGCCAGATCCAATTTTTTTTAATCATATAACAGTTTCACATAATTTATAATGTCGTTAAATTTTGCTCATGCTGCTATATAATGTTATCACCTAGTAGTATTCATTTGTTTGTCCTTTCTGCTTGTAATTTGCCCTTCGTACATTTACTAAACTGAAGTTTATTCTACAACTTAGTGAGTTCAATGTTTCTGCCTTTCTGATGAATTTTAGTCCATGAACTAACCATGCTTCTAGTTCGTCAGATTTTATTTGAATGAGCTGTACTCTCATGTTTAGGGTGTGAGAAACTAATCCTCTATTACTATTTTTTTTTCTTTTTTTAGTTAAGGGTTAACAAGGGTGCAAATCTTTCATTGACATTAAATTTAATTTTTATTGCAGGCATGTCAACTTCTCAAAGATCTGAGAGTATCAATTCCTTTTTTGATAAATATGTGAACAAGATGACTGTATTGAAGGGATTCATTGAAAAATATGTGATGGCTTTGGAGGATAGCGAGGAAGCAGAACGTCATGCAAATTTTAACACTTGGCATAAAGAACCTGCTGTAAAGACGCCATCCTTGTTTGAAAGGCAAATGTCAGGTATTTATACACATGAGCTCTTTAAAAAGTTTCAAGTGGAAGTTTTGGGAGTCTCCGGGTGCCATGCAACGAAGGAGAAAGACGGAGTTGTTGCGATTTACAGAGTTGAAGACTTTGAGAAAGAAGAAGACTTTTACGTGAGTTGGGATGCAAATGAAAAAATAGTTTCTTGTCTTTGTCGTTCTTATGAATACAATGGATTTCTTTGCCGGCATTCACTATGTGTGCTTCATCATTGTGGTATATTTCATGTGCCTTCTCATTATATCTTGGAGCGGTGGACGAGAGATTTTATAGGAAATGGTGAGAAACGAAAGGTGGTTGATTGCAGGCAAGATCGTTATGATGATCTATTTAGACAAGCTACAATGTTATGCGAGGAGGGCTCAAATAGTCAAGAAAGTTATAATATTGCCTCTCATGCTTTGAGAGTTGCATTGGAGAAATGCAAGATGTATAATCCAAATACGAACAAGGAAGGCACTAATTGTGTGGACGGTGGCACTCCGATACTTGATACAGAAGTTGTGAAGACAAAAGGAGCTAAAAGAATTAAATCAGGAACTGACAAAAAGTGCAAGGAAAAGAACAATAAAGATACAAAAAAAGGTATGCAGCCTTATGATTCTCTTTACTATATTTCGTAATATATGTGTGCCAAAAACAGCGAAACTATTTTTTTTAATTATTTAAGGCGCAATCATTGCTTAAAGTGGCCGATAGCAGAAAGAGAGCATTTGCAACAATTTTATTGATCTTTTAGATGATCACAATAGTTTTGCATCTCATGGAGAGTCAATCGTATATTGAAGAGAGCCCATTCCAGGTGCACTAATAGCATGGCATGGTATCAATTTCATGTATCTCGCGCGCGCGTATTAGTTTCATGAAAATATCTTATTACATACGCTATATGGTTCAACGCGATCGACTATTTCATGAAAGTATCCTTACATAGGACGACTATGATTTTTTTTGGACGCTTAATGGTCAACACAAACTTGTAACTATATGTTACTTGTTATTTTTGTCCCGTTATTTTTGTAAAACTCTTACTAATTTGATGTTGCTCGTCTTAAGCTGTGTAGGGTTCAAAATGAATGGCACGCCAACTTGAATCTTAACGCCCTCCTGGCTATGAAGATTTCAGAGTCTCGGTGTTGATCGAGAATATGGAAAGGTGGGATAGTGATCCTCTCAGTGATATGTTTCAACAGAGTGAGGCGGAGGCGATCTTGTCAATTCCATTGGTAAAATGTAAATCAAATGATAGATTTATTTGGGAGGCAACATTTCAAGAGGACTCTCTCTGTACAATCGGCATTGCAATGTGCCTCTCGAGATTGGAAAATAGTGACACTCCTAATGCTGACTTTTACAGTCAATGATTCGACAAAATAGTCCATTTTGGAGGAACTTGGCGGTCTCTTGGTATTCCTCCGAAGTTTGGACAAAATTTCAAAACCGACCTGTTTTGAATTTTTTTTTCCCAAAAATAGACCCGTTTCAAACTTAATTTTAAAAACCGACCCATTTGGCTGAAACTGGGTCGGTTTTTGAAATTAAGTTTGAAACGGATCTTTTTTTGGGAATTTTTTTTGGCAAATAGGTTGGTTTTGAAAATTTGTCCTCCGAAGTTTTGAATTTTTGCATGGAGATGGGCTCATATTATTTTGCCAACAATCAACAGCTTGAACAGGCGCCGAATGGGATTCAACATTCTTGAGACAGCAAATTTTACAGGAGGAAGTTTATGTGAGTTATTCGACCCTTGGTGCTACAATTACATAGAAATAGGCATCTCAAGCACTTTTTTCCTTAGATTACTATTTTTTGTAATATAATTATTTTTAATGTGTAGTAGGTATGATTCGCAGAAGCTTTCATGTCAAAAGAAAATGCTACTTGTCATGTAGAACCAAAATTCTTGTTTATATCAATACTTCAGCCAAGTGAAGATTTTTTGGAGGAATTAGTAGATTTATTATCATCAACTTATCAAATTTTAGTATCCAGTTACCATTTATCCTAAATTATTTCTAGTCTCACCTTTATTTTATTGCTTTCTCCCTCGACTTATCAAATTTTAGTATCCAGTTACCATTTCTTATTTATTACCTTGTGGATGCTCCCAATGAATTTATAAGAAGAAAATGATAGCTCATGAATTAAGGTGGGGCTAAAAATAATTCAGGAGGTAAGCAAGAAGACAAAGTTAATAGTTTAGGGGCGAGGTGAGGTCATAAATAGTTCATGGAGTAAGCAAAAGCAAATTTAATGGTTTAGGAGATAAGTGAAGTTATTTGCATTTGTTTAAGACTAGATGGATGTTTAAAGAAAATAATGGGTGATCTTCCATATATCAGGCTAAACCGGGCCAGGTGATTTGGGATGAATTAAGTAATAATTTTTTTTAAGTATTCGCTTAGCTGAGATTTAGTTACATCAATGTATATGAGAGAATCATCTTATATGTCATTTGATATTTGTTATTCTCTTATTTGAATTCACAACAAAACATCTAAATATTTTTGTCATTCGCATAATTGAAATTAGGATAAACTACATTAAAACATTTTAAAAATTTGCCTGATATTGCACCAAAATACTCAAATTTTGAAACCCTACAAAATTTGCTTGATACAGAACCAAAATACCCAAAGTTTAAAAACCTGCAATTAAATTTCCAAATATTTTTAAAAGCTGCATTTTAATACCAAATGAGACGCAAATGTGAGATATTCGCTCCGAAAATTCTCATTGGACGCTTTTATTAAGTGCGTATGCGTATGTGTATGTGTATATATGATATAGTACAATAGTATGGATTTACAGTCTAATTAGCATTATCTTATGTCTATTCCTAGGAGAACAGCGTAAGCATTAAAATTTGCTAAATTATTATTATTATTATTAATCCATAATAAGAGTGGAAGATGAGAAGGATCTAATCTACTTCTACTTTAACAAAAGGACAGCCTCACTTTTAATCT